GCCCCGGCCCCAGCCCGGCCTCACCCGCACGGGCTCCGGACCCTGCCCGGGGCGTGCCAGGGCTGGGGGAGAGGGGGCGAGGGGCTGTGTCCCCTCCCGTGTCCCCTGTGTCCCCTCTGTCCCCTGTGTCCCCTCCCGTGTCCCCTCTGTCCCCTCTGTCCCCTGTGTCCCCTCCCGTGTCCCCTCCCGTGTCCCCTCTGTCCACTGTCCTCTGGCCCCTGTGTCCCCTGTCCCCTGAGTCCCCTGTGTCCCCCATTCCCTGTCCCCTGTGCCCCCCGTGTCCCCTCTGTCCCCTGTGTCCCCCATCCCCTCTGTCCACTGTCCCGTGTCCCCTTTCCCCAGAGTCCCCTCTGTCCACTGTCCCCCGTGTCCTCTGTGTCCCCTCTGTCCCCTCTGTCCCCAGTGTCCCCAGGCCGGTCACCGCTCCCACCCCGGGGCCCCCAAACAATCCCAAACAAGTATTAGTATTAGTATTAGTATTAGTATTAGTATTAGTATTAGTATTAGTATTAGTGTTAGTGTTAGTGTTAGTGTTAGTGTTAGTGTTAGTGTTGGTATTAGTGTTAGTATTATTGGTATTGGTATTATTAGTATTATTAGTATTAGTATTATTAGTATTATTAGTACTAGTATGAGTATCAGTATCCATATCAGTATCCGTATCAGTATTAGTATCAGTATCAGTATGAGTATCAGTGTTAGTATCCGTATTAGTATTTATTTATTATTGTTATATATAATAATATATATTATTATATATAATAATATATATTATTATTTATACTGATAACACAAATAATACTAATACTAATAACACCAATAATACCAACAACACTAATACCACTAATACCACTACTAACAATACTAACAACGCTACCACTAATACCACTAATAATAACAATAAAAACAATATTTTCTCTTTTTTTTCCCCTTTTTTTCCCTCTCCCCGCGCTGGATTCGCGTCCCTGGAGGGGAGAGGAGCGGCGGGAGAGGCCGTGGGGACGGTGCTGACCCAGCGGAGCAGCCCCCGCCGCTCCCAGGGAATAAAGAACCTTTTGTTGCTCCTTTTCTCCCCTCCGCAGCTGCCAGGGTTTGTGTTCCCAGCAGGAAAAGGCGGATCCTGCCCCAGCTCGGCGTCCTCTGCTCCCACACCGAGCTGGGGGTCCCTCCTGAGCCCCCCCGAGTCACCCCCGGAGCCGGGGAGTGGGAAATGAAACCCTGGAAACGCTGCGGGGTGGGGGGAGATCTGCCCCAAGCTCTGAAATGTCATCGGGAATCCTCAATTTCCATCTCGCACATCCTCCCCGGGGCTGCTCCGCTCCTCCAGCCCTGCTTCCCTGAGCGCATTTTCCAGCCTTTTTCCCTGCAGAGGATTCCGGGATGTCCGGACACCTGCGGGATCAGCACCTGGCCGCCGTCCGGGCCAAAAATGCAGAATTTTGTCCTCTGCAGAACCGAGTTTTGGGGACAGAGGGGACACCTGGCCACCCCCAAATCCAGCTTCTCCAGCCAGAGGATTTTCCCTCACTTCCAGCTCACTTTTGAGGGGTCACAGCAATTCCAGGTGTGCCCCAATCCAGGTGTGCTCCTGGATTTACCTGCCCGAGGGGATGGAGAGACCTCCAGGAGCTTCTCCCAAGCTTTTTTCCACTCCTTTTCCAGGCTCAGGTGCCCTCCAGGGTTTTTAATGAACACAGATGTGCTCAGGTTGCCGCTCTTTAATCCAAGTCCACACAGGGACGCGCCAAGGGCGGCACCACGGGGGCAAATCCAAGGATTCCAGCACTTCCCTGGAATTTGGGTTTAATTTCTGGAGCTCCTGCACCCCAAAATGAGCGGGACAAAGAGCAGGGGCTGGGATGAGGCCTGGGAAAGGACGGATAAATGGCTCAGGGATGTTCCTGCCCCAGCACAGCCGACTCGGAGGGTCTTTCCCGACCTTTTAATCCACATTTCCTGCCCTAACCGGGATCTTTCCCAGCCCTTGCTGTGCTTACACTGAGGATTCTGCGAAGAGGCAGCAAAAGGACAAAAATCTGCTCAGAGAAGGACGAGGAGAAAAGGAAGAGCGGATGGAAAATCCACTCTGATCCAACCCAAACCGTTCCCATCACCCGCAGCCCCTCTGCTGCAGCTCCAGCCTCCAGATGAGGACGGGTGCCCCAAAATCCTGAGCAGGGGAGAAGTTCCCGGGGTTAAAGAACTTTTCTTTCTCCCCTTGAACCATCCAGAGCCAGCCCTGCCCCTTCCAGATCTCCCAGAGACCCAAACCTGTCGGGTTTTCCAGAAAAAACCCAATTCCCATCATTTCCCACAGCAATTCCAGCAAGGCAAAGCTTCCAATCTTTTTAAAAACGCATCCCTGGAGTGGGAGCGTCCCTCCCCGCGGCCGGGGGAAAGCTGAGCCCTGCTCAGCATCTCATCAGCATCAGCCACATGCAGATGGAGCCACAGGAACCCCTCAGCCCCCCTGGCCCTTCTGCAGTTACAGGAGTGACCCATTTCCCTGGGAATGGCTCCTCGGAGCTGCCAGGACCTGGCAGGAGCTGCCAGGAGCTGCCAGGAGCTTCCCGGAGCTTCCCGGAGCTCGGGGTGGGCGCCCGGGGCTGAGCCCCTGCTCCGGGAGAGCCTCGCAGCGGCACCGAGGGAATCCAGCCCGGGCTGTTCCAGCCTGGATCCGGCACTGCCAGAGCCAGGTGGGGCAGGGGGTGAGGGGAAAATCCCGTCTGGAACAAAATTCCCAGGATTTTCTTCACCTACAACTCCTTCAACCCATCACAGCCAGACAGGGAATGAGGGAAATCCCATCTGGAACAAAACTCCCAGCATTTTCTTCACTTACAACCCCTCTGACCCATCACAGCCAGACAGGGAATGAAGGAAATTCACTCTGGAATGAATTCCCAGCAGATTCCTCACCCACAGCCCCTTCCACCATTCAAAGCCAGACAGGGAATGAGGGAAATCCCATCTGGAACAAAATTCCCAGAATTTCCTGCGGCACAGCCCCCTCAGCAGCCCCGGAGGGCTCAGGTTTTAGGGCAGGGATCCCAGGGATCTGCCCGATCCATGAGGATCCAGCTCAGCCCGGGAATGAGGCTCGGCCCAGCCTCCTCAAGGCCTGCTGGCGCAGGGAGGTGACAAAAAACTGTCCCCGCTGTGCCCTGAGCCCCAAATCCCCCAAATTCCGGCTGGTTCTGCCCTGAGCCTGCAGCGTCTGTGGAGGGATGGCAGCAGGGGGAGCGGAGGAGGAGGAGGAGGAGGAAGGGAGGAAGGAAGGGAGGGAGGGAGCTCCTCCTGCCCGGGCACCTCCTGCTCGGCCTGTCCCCACCCGGGCGGTGACAGCAGCGGTGACAGCAGCGGGGGACAGCAGCGGGGGACAGCAGCGGGGGACAGCGGCCGGGGGACGCTCCGGGGGTTGCGGGGCCGGGCCCGCGCCATCGCTCCGAGCCACCGAGGGGTTTTGTCCTGGAAAGCGCAGGAACGTGTCCCCTGTGTGTCCCCTCTCCTGTCCCCTGTGTCCCCTCTCCTGTCCCCTGTGTGTCCCCTGTGTGTCCCCTCCTGTGTCCCCTGTGTGTCCCCTGTGTGTCCCCTGTATGTCCCCTCCTGTGTCTCCTCTGTGTCCCCTCCTGTGTCCCCTCTCTGTCCCCTCCTGTGTCCCCCCTGTGTCCCCTCTGTGTCCCCTCTGTGTCCCCTCTGTGTCCCCCGGGCTGGGAACGAACGGGAAGAAACATTCCCTGACCTTGCAGGGATGCGGGGATGGGAACGGGAGCGGGGGGAGCTCTCCCCGTGCTCCGGGATGCTCCAAATCCTCCGGGATGCAGCCCCGGGAAAGGCACGGATCCACAGGAAAACCGGGAATAACCGCCAGGAAATAACCCTCAGCCTTGCGGGGATGGAAATGTGTGGGGGGAAAAAGGAACAGGGGGGTTCTCCCGGTGCTCCGGGATGTGCAAATCCTTCGGGATGCAGCCCCGGGAAAGGCACAAAAACCTGGGAATAACCGGGAAGAAACCACCCCTACCTTGAGGGGATGCGGGGATGGAAACGTGAGGGGGGAAAAGGAGCAGGGGGGCTCCGGGAATGCTCAAATCCCACAGGATGCAGCTCCCCCTGGAAAGGACATGGAACCACGGGAAAACCTGGGAATAACCGGGAAGGAAAAACCTCCGGCGTTGTGCGGGCAGGGATGGAAAGGTGGAGGAGGAAATGGAGCAATGGATGCTCTGATCCTACAGGATGCAGCCCCCGGGAAAAGGCACGGAACGACCTGGGAATAACCTGGGAATAACCGGGAAGAAAAAGCCCTCAGCCTTGAAGGGATGCAGGGAATGGGTCCAGGGGGAAATGGAGCCGGGAGGGAGGAGGGGGAGGATGCTCCATCCTCAGGGATGCAGCGCAGGAGGAACAACCCGGGAATAACCTGGAAGGAAAAACCGCTCAACCTTGCGGGGCTGCAGCGCCGGGAAGGCGGCGGGGGGGAGGGAG